TTTAATTATTTTTTATATTTTCACATTATTATTATTATTTCTATTACATTAAAAAGTAATTTTATAAAAGAAAGAGGGATGTATGGACATATTTCATATATGATTATACATATTTATATATATTCATGTATGAAAAATTATTTACCGGGATATGAGAAATAAAGAATGTCAAGCTGTCTTCAATGCTTAAATAATTTGATGTAAATTTATATTTGATGTAAATTTGAATCGTGATGTAAGCGAGAAATTACATGTTGATTTTTTTTGCATACCATTTGTAAATAAAGAGAATTTGGATAAAACGAAATGATAAAATCGCTTTAAAATACTTGTAAAAATAAGCGAAAACTTTTCTTATCTCTTCTGATAGTCAGTGTTTTTTACAATTATTTACTGACTGTCAAGGGAGATAAGAATAGTTTCGCTCATTTTTAACAAGTGTTTTAAAACGATCTCATTATTTTTTTTATCCAAATTCTCTTTATTTACAAATGGCTTACAAGAAAAATCAACGTGTCGCTTATGACACATTTCTCACTTATGACGTCACGATTTAATATGGGAGTGAGTACTCAGGACCCTTAAATAAAGTATCTTTTAAGATTGTAACGATCGTAATGTGGATACATAAGAAATAAGAAATAAAGGTCGAGCTAGACCTTTAATACTTAATTCGGTGTAAATTTATATATTATTATGTGCATATTTAATCCTGCAAACTGCATGTTAAATCTAATTTTGGCCACAGTTTGCAGAATTAAATACGTATATAATACATAAATTTGCATCGAATTATAAGCACTAAAAGTCTAGCTTGACCATTTAGGACCTTTATTTCCTATTTCTTGTATTATATATTCACGATCATTATGATCTTATAAACTATTAGGTGTAGTAAAAAGTCATCGCGTATTTTTTAGCTAAAAGTTGTATATACAATATCTACGTCAATAATGAATGAAATTCAAATTTAAAAAAAGGGTTTTAAAGCTTGAAATCTCTACTTTTAAAAGCTTATCACATTTTTTAAGTTTATATGAGTTTGATAATTTTTACATACCAAAAACTACGAGCTGAAAAAGACGAAAAATTTTCTTCTCACTTTGTGGATTTGTAACGTGTCCAAAACGAATTTGAGAAAATTTTCGATTACATATCGTGAAAGCTTGATACTTTCCCTACAAAATCGTTTTTTTTAAATATTCCTACGACTTTTGATTACTGAGTTATCGCGGATTAAATAAAAGAATTATTTTGACTTTAATTGCTCATAACTCCATTAAAAATTGTCGTATCGTATAATTTAAAAAAGAGATTTTTGAAGCTGAAACTTTACTCTATCAAGATATATTTATATTGTTGGTAAGAAAGTAATTGCGGTTTTTACTGATAGATGTCTTTTAAAAAAACGCGATGACTTTTTACTACACCTAATATTTCGTTTAATATAATAAATATCACGCTTTTATATATAAAATACCATAGTTCAATTAGAAAGTAACGATATAGTTATTTGGATTTTGTACATTTAATCTACGTTATTTTTGTATAACATATGAAAAACTTATTTATGGACCTTTGTTACTATATCTAGGAAGAGTTTTTAGCTAAATGAATAAGTGGTTTGTTTTCTGTTCCTGCACTAGACTGCACTAACTCTCTTTCTCACTTTTAACAAATATCAAACATATACCTATCTCACTTCAAGTTCCAAAAGTATACACTAGTTCAGCCACAGAAAACACCTAAAGAATCGCTCATGTTCTTTTTTATTCATCTTTTGTTTTTTGCTTGCTCGCTCATCAAAATTAAATGTAATGTATATCTAACATACAGAGTATTGCAAAATCTTAGGTTCACTTATGTGTTATGCCCGTGTATTTCAAATGTTTCAAAGCGTTTGTAGTGTTAAGTGGACCAGGATCTAAGATCAATTGGAAGAAAAAGTTTTATTAATCAATCAAAGATAGATCATTTATGTTTATACAGGCTACAAACGCTTCAAAGCATTTGTAGTCTATATGAACATAAATAAGAAATAATTTGATTATCAAGTAAAACGACGTTTAAAGTAATAAGACGTAAATAATTTCGTGATTTGTACATACAATTGATAATATTGTATATTTATTTATTATATGCTTAATCTAATCTAAATAACAATTAATATAATTACTGCTATTACAATATATTTGATACTATATTAATTGTCTAAATATAATTTATTGTCTATATTAATTGTCTAATAGTGTTCAATAAATAATGTTTAAATAAATTAATGAAATAATTAATTTTTATTTTTTGCGTTGTCATCGTATTTTAAAAATAAAATGCTATTAATGCTGCAAAACATTATTTGATTAATCAATCTACAGCTTCTTAAAACTTCCTTCAACACCAAATAAATTTCGTTGTCCGATCGAAACGATTTAACGCGATGACTTTTCTCTCTTGAAACCAAGGAACGTGCCAACTCTTTTACTTGCTTATTATATAATTTCTGTATAGGACTGGCTTAGCCGCCTACTTCGTTTAAAAGAATTTCGAGCATGTATTTCTTCAAGGTCGCTCATAGTACGAATATTATAAATCTATAATAGCACTATATAGAATACTTCAATGATTTTTATATTTTTCGCATTGAATTACATTCCATTTTATGGAGTTTTTCCAAGCACATAAATTAATTAAATAAGATACATATATTAAATAAGAAGATGAAATACACATTCATAATATTTATAAACAAAAGTTAAAAAAGGGGCATACAGCCAATACGCCGGTTATTTGTTGTTGCGATGTCATATATTTAAAATAATCATTACAAATTGAAATTTACAGACGGCCGATATTCGGCCTTCTTCAATATGTTCTACTATATAATTTTAAATGTCGGAAGTTAAATAAGTTAAAAATTACAATTTAAAAATTATAAGAGATTAAATCTCAGTTCAATTATAATGTGCGATGGTCAGTTAATGTAAGAAGTTGAGTGTATGAAACTGTATAAAATTCTTATGAAATGGTGAAATTGATTCTTGTATGACGGTTATATTGTTGGTCCGCTATTAGTTGCAAATCCTCATGCGTAAAGAATTTCCAAGTTCTAATTTGAATTTACATAATTACAAAGTTATAAAGATTTTTTTAAATACATGATTATAAAGACAGTACAAACAATTACTTAACATACCTTTACTCTACTGTATATAATAGGATTACAATTATTCACTGACAATTATTCACTCTTTATAGTTTTGAATTTTTAAAGATAGAAGAAACTTTCTAGTACGTTACTTGTTAACAGAATTTTTGTGTTCTGTGCTTCTGTATTTATATTAACTAGAAAAATTAAGAAGGGGAAAATTAGAGGAGTGGAATGAAAGTTGTAAGTAGAAGGTTATTCCTTTAATAGGATTTGCAATTAATAGCGGACCAACATTGTAATAGCCACACAAAAATCAACCATTTCACAAGTACTTTATACGATTTCATACATTCAACTTCTTATATTAATTGACCATATTATAATTGAACTGAGATTTAATCTCTTATAATTTTTAAATTGTAATTTTTATTTTATTTAAATGTTCTCTCTCTGCATTTGATGGAATAATCGCTATGTAAATTCTATCGATTGCTCCTATCACACTAAGAAATTGTGTATGTCCAGAATCTACAATATTAAAATAAAATACATTTACTACACAGTTATAAAATGATTACTTATGAATAATAATTCAATCTTGTATTACGGTTGTGATTCATTGTTATTTTATATAAAATTGACACTTCATTAACATACTGTATTTCTGCGTCTTCGCTTGGAAATTGAATACAAACATACATTAAAATATTTAATGCATTAACTATACATTGCGTAAAATTTTGCTAACTGTTGGCTGATTTACACGAGATAAATAATTTTAATCAACTTAATTTTTAGCTATGAATCAGAAACAAAAAAAATTTTAAAGTTACAGCACAATAGCGCTTACGATTATATGCGCTGTTTTAGCACTTTGTTAACGCTTTGTAAGCGCTGTATGATTTTTGGGAACTTATAACAAAAAATAATCATAATAAATACTAAGTTTTCAAGAGGAAAAAATAAAATTATATGTCCTTATAAAAATTTTTTTATTTTTTTAGAAAATCAAATAATTTTCTAATAGATAAATACCACGAAAAATCCCTAGTTCTCTACCTAAATTATTATACACTTGGTAGTACACCTCAGAAAAGCCGGTGTAACTACTATTCAATATGACAAATTTTGTCTTTAATTCCGAACGTTTAGTGTGATTGTGTAATTCCGTGATTATATCGAATTGGATGTAAAGCAAGTTAAATACAATTTATATACGTTTAGTTAATGTTTATGCACTAACAATAAGTACTGCACCGTACTATCAATTGCTTGATTTTCCTATATTATTTTATATTTATGTCAAATTTGTGACCGTACTCGTAAGCAATGGCACAACTTCATCGTGGTCTGCAATGGATTTTCTTTGATACTGACCTTTGAACTGACCTTAAGAATCGTTTAGTTAATCTTTAACGAATTGCCATGAATTCTCGTCAAATACGAGTTGAGCGTCAAGCACGAGAGAGCGTGCCATTCTTTCGCTAAATCCTAATTAACTTGCAATGTTTATTCACGATTATTGTTTGGGGAAACTGATCGATCAGCTACGGAATTGGTAGAGTTCGGGATTGGTAGGTTCGTACAACCACCATAATTATTTTTTATATTTAAATCAAAAAGTAAAATCGGATATATCTGCTACATTTCGAGTTATTCTTCTTTAAGTGCCCTGTACACTGTTATCAACGCCTAAATATATCTCTCTATATAATATATATATATATCTGTTCGTGATAATATATATCTGTTCGTTGATTATATACAAGATATATGAGGACCTATAATTTAAACGTCGATTTTCGAATTTTTGATAGACAGGGTTTCCTGGGCAAGTATACTACTCAGTGATTTGTCATTGCCTTCCGAGAGTCTGTTTTACATACACTCACGCTCGAAGTTAGCGCTTCGAGTTAACGTTTCTACTTTGTTACTAGGTTATAATTTATTTTAGGAAATGATATCATTATTATTTGAAACTTTTTAAAATTCTACGTTTTTGGATCGAAATAGAATTGTCACTTCAATATTAATCTTAATCTTTCACACTGATTGAAATTGGTGATGGCTACATCGAAAAAGAAAATGGATAGTCAAATGAATCAAGAGCACAGAATACAAATAAAGAGTATACATTCTTCCAGAATTTTTTTTAACTCGGATAAATACACTAGTGTATATAAAACATTATAAAATGTGAATTGTAAGTATCAAGAGATTGTATAAGAATGGCATAAACAGAATACTTTTTATCTTCATAGTGTGCATGATATAATAATCATACGTAAAAACACGCTACAAAGTGCGAAGTACAAAATAATATTAATAGATATTACATAATCATGTCACAATTAGTTAAATCAGATAAAATTATAAGTATTTATCAATCTATATCAAGTTTTTTAAAATTACCCTCTATACCAAACAAATCATTTACTGTTTTGCTCTTGCCAATTCTTAATGCTTCGTTAACGCGTCTGGTTGCTTCATCCAGCAGAAACCACTCGCGATTGTCTTCTAATTCCTTCACTTGATTTTGAGCTAGTTTATGCACAGAACCCGCTTTTCCACCCATTTCGTTTGGCAACGCATCCACTGGGATATATTCAGAAATGCTCTCTAATGATAAGTGGAAATGTATCTAGAAGAGTTAAATAAACTCAGAAAAACTTGTCTAAATAGAATACAGCATTGAGTATAATTTTACCATTTAAAATTATGATGTTATGGATAACGCAAAAATTTCTGTGTTTATCGATGATGATAAAAAATTATATTTTGTATAAGACATGATTTATTTACATCTATAAAAGAGTATGATTACATATATTTATTATAATTATAACATTAGAATTATTTGATCACGCTTATATCGCGTTTGTTGCAAATGATTGAGTTTCTTAAAAACGCGGATGTTGTTGCTACAGTTGAACTTAATTAATTGATTTGTGATACTTACTATGTCTATCAACTCGTTTTTCATGAAAGGCTTCGCCATGTTCATCAATAATTCCATGACGGGTGTTGCGTTTAGAAAATGGATTGCCTTTAGACGTATCGGCATTGCCTCTTGGAGATAGTATAGATATTTCTTTATTCCCATTGGATTTATTCGCATAACATGACCGAAAGATAATTTGCTAACGTCAAAGATGAAAATGTAACCATCATTCGTACCATTCATCAGGAAATATATGTCGGATAACATTACGGCATATTTTAGGCAGTTATTACAATCAAAGAGTGAAGGATCGCTATCCAGCAATGTTGCAAATATCATCGTATAATCATCCTTTGTTAATCCATTCAGAGGAAAAATAGCCCTTTTTAAATTAATTTAATTTTAAATCAAGTTAATATAATAAGTATGTCAAAATATTAGTAAAAATATTCTAAGTATTTTCAAAAGTATATGTATATCTGTACATCTTATAGGATTTATTTTATTTTCTGCATGAATCTTAAATTATGTATGAATGTGGTTAAAATTGTAAATATTATTAATTGGCCATTTTATATATAAATCATTACTGCTATTCGTTCATTAATATTCATAAAATTTTGTACGAGATTTTGAAGGCTTGTCGTAATCCCTTTTCCTCAAGCGGATCCCGACTGCAAAAAATTTCTGGTAAATACGTTCTGGTCGTATAATAATTCTCGATTGTGTTTTTCGTTGGTTCCATTTGATAGTAATTGCTGTGAAGGTACAAAGCGAAAAAGCTGTCCTCAATTTTTGGCAAGTGCGGTTGTTTCTTGCACCACTCTCTCAGTGATTGTATATCTGATAGTTTCAATTGAGGATCCTTCTTCATTTCTTCTTCTAATGTGATTCCTTTTATTATAGACATTGAAACTCGAATTTAATACGTACGATTATCTTCTTAAGAACACTTCCTTTCCTTCACAATATGTTGTTTCCGACAGAATTTTTACTAAAATATTTTCAAAACTAATAAGGATATACCGAACAATCCAAAGACTTAGCACTACTAATATGGTGAAACCAGTCATCATTCATTAGTAATAATTTATATTGATTACAAATTCTAATAAAATCAGTGCTTCGAATGGTCTTAGCCGAATTTTAAGTGCTTATTTAATTCTGTGAATACTATATACTACGTATCCTTTAAACAATGCGCCGAAATGATATTGAAACGCAAAATCTACTAAACTA